TACTAGGCCTTCTTGTCCTGACCGTCTGGCCCCATGCACGAACGAGCGTTACGGACGTACTAGGCCTTCTTGTCCTGACCGTCTGGCCCCATGCACGAACGAGCGTTACGAACGTACTAGGCCTTCTTGTCCTGACCGTCTGGCCCCATGCACGAACGAGCGTGCGTCCGGCCAGACAAAGCCCTGACGCTCTCTGGCAAACCAGGGCCCTCCGCATCTCAGCCGCCTGGCTCCACGCGCAAGCCGGCTAAGACAGTCGCGACGGACAGCCCACGGCCCGGCGGGGGAGCGAGTGCGTCCGGCTAGCATGGCGCACACCCAGCCTGATCACACCGGACGTGCCCATCTGGCACGACCAAAGCGACACGCGCTGGAGCGGCGCACACCCACCCTGGCTCGACTGGACCAGACTATCGTGACCCAAATGCACCGCCAAGCGAGTCCGGCGGAAAGTATCCAGTGCTTCCAGCCTTGGGGTACTCCCAGTGCTCCAATACCAAAAAAACCTTTTTAAATATTTCAAAAAATTCCAGAAAAAAAGAGAATGTTCACAAGGAATGTCACTACATCTCCTAGAAATTTCAGGTTCAAAATCGAAATGTGCATTGAGAAACAAAAAAAATCCAAATCTAAATAGTGTCAATATTGCTTTTGTCCATTCTTTACACTATTCATGCTAGATTTCACATTTTTTTTCTCAATGTGTATTTCTAGTTTGGACCTGAATTTTTTAGGGCTTGTAGTCACATTCATAGTGAACATTTACAAAAAATTTAAGATTTTTTGAAACATTAAAAGAAATGTTTTTTTTGACATTTGAGTACCGGGAGTACCCCAAGGCTTGGAGCACCGGATACTTTCCCGCGAGTCCGGCTAGCTAGCCTCTAGCAAGGCAGTGCGCCGAATGGCTCTCACGGGCGCGCCAGAAACCGCCCAATGGCGGTGGCCCCAGGCAGGCACGCGGGCCACCCGTCATGGACCGACCACCGGGGTTCGAGCCGCTCGGACGGCTCAAAGAGCCCCCGGGTAGCCCCGCGCCATGTCACCGAGCAAAGGTCGCCGACAAGCGAGCCCGGCTTGCCCATCGCACGCGTATGGGCGCGCGGGGTGGCTGACGCGGGCGCGATTGGTGTTGGCCAGTGATGGTGGTCTCAAGTAAACACCAGTGGTACACCCGTCATGGACCGCTAGCCGGGTCATCTAGATCTGAGCCGTCTGGACAGATCAGACAGCTCTGAGAGCTCCCGAAGGCTCCCACGACAAGTCAGCCTGAAACGAATGGTCAGGAGGTGCTCTCACCCGCAAGGAGCCTAGGGAGGAGAATACTCCATCATCTTTCATAAGAGTAATGTCGTCACCGAGCTGCCCTATTTG